ATGCACATTCCTCCGGGATAGTAAAACTATCGCATTTTCATTATATTTTTTTCATTTTAGTCGCTATAGTTGGCAGGCCCTGCAGCATATAAATCTCAAGTAATAACAGAACCATAATAGATCTGAACCAAGAATTAGATAAGTCTCCCGACAGTGATATCTTTTATACTATTTGGGAGTAGCTATTCCTTTATTTTCTTCTTCTTGAAAGTGCCTCTCTAACAAGTGATGGTTACCAGTCAGCTCACCTAATTGATTCCTACCTCTGGCGAGGCAAAACAGTTTAGCAACATCTCGTGATCCCAGACCAATCTCGTATGTTTCGCAGGTATGATTTCCTTCTACGGTTACATTTCGTTCAAACGACATGTCTCATCCCTTATTTTATCAGTTATTTTACCGAATTCTCCGTTATCAAAGTTCGGAGTTTTATATAGGATTCGTCATAACGCCAGAACGTATTAAGTGCAGGGCAAGTTGTTGCAAGGTCTTCAAGTAAATACTTTGTATGCGTCAACGGTAATGTCGATATGTTGTCAGACTATTTATCTTTTACTTTTTGCTAGTCATTTGTTGTTTCTTGCTCGATAATATTTTTGTCACCGTTGATTAGATTGTTGCTTAAGTACTTTACACTTTGACATGTTTGTTAACGATATTAATTTTATTCATACTTGCCCAAATAGCAAAACAACCGACATTCATATATGGACTTCGGCCCCGTCACATATTGATTCCTTTGTTTGTGCCCAATTCCATTTACATTTACGGTTGATCTCGATTTCACGAATGCCTACGCTTTATTTTAAAATCCTCATCTTGTACTCCACTGCAACGACCTCCAAAGGATGATTACGGATTTTACAACTCTGTACATTACAGTGGCGAGGCGTCCATATAACTCGATTCCCACCGGCTTGCCTAAAATTTTCCAGGTATCATCAAATATCATAAATATTTTAAAGTAAATTACTACATTTTGTGCTAAGTTTACGTGTACAATAAAATTAACCAGTGAAATAAAGTATACTGGTATCTTGTGTGCTAATAAGTTTGTTAAGACAAGTGTTCTTTGTTTCGTTCCTCGTCAGTACATTATGAACTTTATTTCATCAGGAAATTATCATTTTGATATTTTTCCCATCCAAATGTGATTTCCTTATGACATCATTGTCAGGTAGCCCGACCTTACGGTTTCCTGGCTGGATTGTCGACCTCCGGTTAGCATTGACTATCATGTCCAGTTTTCCTGATCAAACAATACACTCCAGTCATGTACAGTTGCGCAAAGAGAGGCAACTCTTTATGATGCCTGGTTGGTTTTTTAAGGCACTGTACTGTGTGTATATGTCATCATATACAGCGCTCATTTCTGAGCACATAAGATTTATGAGTAAAGAATTATCTAGAAGCACAGTAAACACAGTTGGTAGACAGCCCGTAAATATGATGAGTTAAACGCTAATGAATTACAGTTTACACATTTACAAATGCCATGAACTTAGACATTTTTATCAGACAATACGCACTTTTTTATTTTTCCAACAGCACGTAATCTTTGTAATAGAAGTGTTTATGGGTACGGTGCGCGTGGTGAATTTTTATCGTATATACTTGACTCGCCAACTTTACGTGCAGACAAATTATATAGATTTGAATGGGAACTACTTATTAAAGGGAAACCGAATTAAATGTTGTTCATTGTTCACTGTCTATTGTCTACCTGTGTAAAGGTCTTGTTTTTTTAAATTGACTCAAAGCTTTTGTGGCTGTCACAGTGGCATTTACATAGCTAAATAGTGGTATTTACTTAATCTCGCAAAATTACACATTTCTAAGTTCTTTGTCATCAATTTGTAGAATTTTGGTTGAAATACACTGTTAATTTGAAATATAAGGTTTCCTTTTTGTCTTTAAATCCCGAAAATCTGTAATTTCAATTTTTCACTGTCACAAAAGCAAAGTTTTGCGGGGACATAAAGGTATGCTAGAAACAATTAGAAAATATATTGATAACCCAGATACGAAAATCGTGTTACATGGTGTAATATGAGAAATAATCTAAATAAAACTCCAGAACAGCTTAAGAAGCTAGAGCAAGTGGAAATAAAAATAAATGTCTCGAATTGCGACCGCGATCTGGAATATTTGCGCAATGTGGGACAGTTTTTAGGAACCTGGAGACTTAATGCAGGTTGCCGAGGACTGCACGTTGTGCCGTTTGACGATGTGAAAACTAAAGAACAGCCCCATATCTTCATTAGTTTTGATTATAGTGACCCTCAATACCGATCCTTAGGGTATACGAGAAGGGCACTATAACCTGTGCGCGCACAGGAAACTTACAAGTTCAGGTTCTGACTCCAGATCAGCCAGTGTATAGGGTTGTCACAGACCTCTGTCACTTGACTTCATCCGATTCTTCGAGAGGCTAGTACCTTGGGTGAGCCGCTCCGGGTGCACGTACGGTACCCTCCCTATTTACCAGATATGTACCCGATTCGTAGACATGCTCACTTTCCGTTATGCATTGTAAAACTAAAGAACAATACATAATTCCTAACACATCTGTTAGTGGAAATAAAAGTTGTATATAAGATACCAACAAAATACGTATAGGTTCACTGTGGCTGGTCAAACACTAGGCACACAAACATAAAAAACAATAATACTTAGAGAGACTTAACGATGTTTTCCTCAATAGACAGGAAGTAGGTCGGTAGGTCAAATATAATTGGTAATAAGTAATTATTGAGCCCTACGCCAAAATTAAGATAAGACAAGAACATAATAATGGTTTCTTAGAAAACAAGGACCAATGCGTCTGGAAAAGGTCAATAAGTATTGTTCAAGAGAACAATGAATTTTCTCAAGTAATTATTTGATTAACACGACAGCGTTTTGAATCGATTAAAATTATTATTTGTACTCATTTTGTACTTGTTTATTTTATCAAAAGCCCTTATAAGAGATAGGGTTCTTTCTTCTACGCAAACTCAAAGTATTGAAAATTTTAAATAACTAAGGTTTTATATTTAATAATATTATACACATGTTACACATAATACATATTTAATGTATTAACCAGATCCTCTTAAGACGCAAGGTCCTTCCTCTTCCTCAATTCATTTCTTTTTGTTACAATTACTTTACACATATTTTTTATTTCTTTAGTGCACGCAATGGCTTCACGCTCATTATAGTGACCTCTATATATGCCTCGTGCAAATTTTATCTCGTACTCAGTCCACACAAAAACGATCAAGTTCTATAGGTAATAAGATCTAAAAAAAATGAAAAATGCATGTAGATAAGTATATCACACCCGAAGGCTTTTGTTTTGGTCTATTTCGTAAATTTTTAGATTATTCGTAAATTTCGAAGACGAACAGCGGCTCAGCCGCGGAAATCTAAATTTAGAGTTCTGTGGTCTCGGCTGTCTTACACTAGTGAATTTTTGTAGATTCTACACGATAAAGAAAAGCAACTAAGTATGGAACGCCTTCTGGTATCGAATAAGCTTCGTCATCGTTAAATTTCAAAGATACACCTTGAACTTAACAAGCTGCATGAGCGTTTGCATGACCAAGCACTCTTTGATACTTGTTACTAGTTTCTATTCAATTGCTCAATATTTCGTCAGATCAAGTGCATTTGACAAGTA